AAACACCTTTTCCCAGGTGATGGTTCCAAATGAAAAAGTGATTTTTTAAAGAACAAGTCATATGCTTACAAATTCTACTGAGACCAGTTTTATGCACATTTGATAAATTATAATGCTCAGTAGTGGATGGTAATTTCTGTGTTGGTGGGATGGTGAAACTATGTGAGTTTTAGCAGAGTTACCACTCGACTCTGGGTTTTAGCATGAACCCTATCTCCCAAAATAAGTCCAGCCCTGTGAGTAGTTCCTTTAAAGTCAAGAAGACTAAAACCTGAAATTGATTCGCTGCTACACTGACCTGGGAGCCATGAGATGCAAGTGACCATACTTAGTATTAATTACCTGGTTGAATTCTTTACAATAGATAGATTGTAAAATGGATCAGGATTATTACCCACATATTGTAGATGAAACAACAGGATAAGGGAACATGTCATGCCTAAAAACCCCTAGGTAATTCATGCAGACTTCCTAATTCATGCGTGGGCAGCAGAAGTATGAGAATCTACAGGGGATGAGAATGGGATGCAGTTGCTTTCACTGGGTGAGTCATAATTCTCAGATTCCCAATTTTCATTTTTTTCATTATTTTTTTTAAATGGGGGGAATCTACCTTTGGTCTTTATAGCTGCCACAGTATGAGGCATAAAACACAACCTCCATTCTACTCAGTCGTTTGCAAGCAACTAAGCCCAACTAACCAAGAAATGAAGTCATAACAATGGTCGATACACTCACCACCTGGAGAAGGAGTTTCCTGGTTCATTTAAAAGTCATTTTTGGGACTTCTGATGGGAAATGATTATTGTTCATATAATAATAATAATAATAATAATAATAATAATAATAATAATAATAATAGAAATGCAAGATTTTAGTAAAACTGTGACTTGGTGGTAGTGTGCCTCCCACCACTCCATACAAAAAAAGGCAGCAGGAGTTTGTGATCTTTTGTACTCAGATCAACACATCTCGTTTTTCTGACTTTCTTAACTTGTATACTAAATTATCATTTTGCTAATGCATGAAGATAGTTCCTCATTCTTATATTGCAAGAAGGAGGGCTGTGGTGGGGTCCTACATCATGTTCCCTCTGGCCAGCATCTTCCTCCTTCTCCACAACAGCAGCTGAGGGGCTGTGTGCAGCTGTGGAGATACTCCCAGGTTCATTCTGAACATAGGGAAGAAGGACTAGTCTCTACTCCCACGAAATACTGCTCCCTCTACAAACTAGGGTTCCAGACAAGATTTTTTGTTGTTAACTGCCTTCACATAGATCTCGACCCATGGTGACCCTATGGATGAGACATCTCCAGGCCCCCCTGTCCTCTACTGCTTTGCCCAGTTCCTGCAAACTCATATTTGTGGTCTCTTTAATAAAGTCCATCGATCTATTATGTGGCCTTCCTCTCTTTCTACTTTCCTCCACCTTTCCTAACATTATTATCTTTTCCAACGATTCATGCCTTCTCATGATGTATCCAAAGTATCTAAATCAGGGGTAGGCAATTTTTACCCTTTAAGGGCCGAGGGACTTCAGCTCCCAGAATCCCAGGAGCTATTGGCCAACATGGGACTATTGGCGAACATGGCTGAGGCTTCTGGGAGCTGAAGTCCCTCGGCCCTTAAAGGGAAAAGGTTGCCTACCCCTGATCTAAATCTTGTCAGACAAGATTGGCAAAGCTCAAATTTTAACTGAAGCACCAATACTGGTAGTAGAAAATGTCAAAACCCATCCGTCACTCCTTATTCTGTTTGTTGTCCTGCCCTAAGCCATGAGTTCTACAGCTGGAAAAAGCACTGATATCTGTATCACATATTTTTACTCTGGTGGGCCTTTTGGTGGGCCCTTCATGGGCTGGGAAATTAAAGTTGTTTTTTTTTTAAACACACCACACCACCCTTCCTCTAGTATCATTGTTGAAATAATCATCAGAGCTCCTCTTCCTGTCCTTCAAGTAAAAAAATAAGAGAATAGAAGAATCAGTCACAGATCAGTCATGGATCTCTTCCATCGCATCTGTTTGGTCTATAAAGTTCTGCCACTTTTGAGTGGTTTTGTATAAAGGAGGCCCTTGGTGGCCACTGGAGTTTGATTCCGGGATCCCCCATGGACACCAAAATCTTGGATACTTAAGTCCCATTAAATACAATAGCATAGTGAAATGGTGTCCTTTATATAAATGGCAAAAACAAGGTTTGCTTTTTTGAATTTATATATTTTTAAAAATATTTTCAAGCCATGGATGGTTGAATCTGTGGATATGGAGGGCTGGCTGTATTTAAATTATACTTAATGTTTGTATTTGTTGATTATTCAGTTATTCCAACTAATACCTTCTGCAAAACCACAGCAAAATTTAAGCTTATCCTCCCACCCCCACGACCCAGAAAGATTTACAACAAATATCAGTGTACTGTACATCTGCGGAAATCCAGAAATGTACTCACCCCTTACCCCAAAACCTATATTAATTGCTAGGAAGTACCCTGATTGACAGTAAGAGCAGCTCTTCCTGATATGTAGAGAATGTAATGTTGTTTGTGTTTCCATTACAATGGAAATAGGAACAGAGAAAAGGAAGGATTTTTGATTTTGAGGATATTTAACCATAAAGTGTATTGATTCACAACTGATTTCCTGTCCCCAAGAAATACTGGGAGCTGTGTTTTATGTGTTTGATGTGATGGAGATGGACAACTAACTGATTAAATGGAAAATCATCGGAAATGACAGAAAAAGAATGGAATCTAATTGCAGAATACTGTAAGAACAGATGGAGTTAATGAAACTCTACAACAAACACACAAATCAGACAATATCTGATTATGTAACTCGAGAAAATTAAGAAATCTGTATATACATTGAAGTTATTCACATGAAAGTACATTGAAGCATAAGTGGATAAAGGTATAAAATCAAGTCACACAAACCAGTGAGACAACTGGAAGTCTAAAAATAGATCAAACAGATACAGTTGATAAATAATAACAAATGAAAATAACAAAGAAAGCAAACAATTAGTTAATAATATAACTTGCTTTAGAACATATAAATGGATGTGTGTATTTGTTTGTTTTGTATAGTCACTAGATTCAATTTATTTTGAAATATAAACTGCAATATATGTGTAAAAGCAACAATCAGGCAATGATGATGGTATGTAGCACCAAATTACCAATGACAATGCGTGTTATGGGACACCATCTCTAGATGTAACAAAATGTAACACTTCTTATGTATTTTAATTAACCCTACTGTTAATAAAAGTAAACTGAAAAGGAACTGTATTTTAGAATAAGGACGTTAAACTCTCAGTACTTATGCCAAACATCCGGTCCCAGATTTCTTTTGGAGAAGCTATGAAATTATGCCAGTTAAAACTGGCATCACACTTATTATTACTTACCTTAGTTGATAGTGGCGGTGTGCCCTATGATTATTATTAATAATTAATAATAAGGGAGCCAAAGGACTCTGTCTAATGGCAGGACTCAACTGCTAGAGACTATTTTAAAAAATGAAAAATGAAGGATGACTTATTCTCCACAGACCAAGTAGATGAGAGCATCCTTATAAAACCACAGACCTCAACTGATGGCTTCCACACACAAAATACCTTTCAGATGATCACAAATGGCTATGTGTTTACATGTAGTGTGTATGTCTTGTGTGTGCCTGAAGAGCATTAAAGTCCCAGTATGTCAAAGCAACAGTCCACACAACTTTGAACTTTGCCTCTGCTGCCATGCCTGGTTTGGGATGCTCTGCAAGTATGATATAGCAAAGAAGACAAAGTCATGGAATATTCCACACAGGGCTGATTGTTCTCTGAATGTGGGATGAAGGAAACTTGAGACGTTTACCTGCTAAGACTTTCTGACTTGTCCACAGGCATTCCACAGAACTAATCCAGATAAACACCTGTAGCTCAGGCAATTGCTTGTGATTTGTCAAAGAACTGCTCAAGCGCAGCACCTTTCAGCCTTCTGTATCTTCAGTATCTGTATCTTAAATCACCCTGTCAAAGTCCCCGTGTTTCTGCATGATAGAAACAAGACTATTTATATGGACATTTATATGTTCATAGGCATTCTATTGTATTTGTTATGTATGGTCAAAAATTGGAGTAGTACTACTGGAATTTAACATAAAGAGAAACTAATAATCCCATTGTATGTGTGTGTGTGTGCGTGTGCCTTCATGTCACCTTAACAAGGTGACTCCATGAAATTCATAGGATTTTCTTAGGCAAGGAATACTCAGAGGTAGTTTGGCCTCTGAAATAAAGCCTACAGCACCTAGTATTCATTGGCAGTCTCCCAAGCAAGGCTCACCCTGCTTAACTTCCAAGATCAAACATGAATCTGGTGTCTTTAGGGTATTTAGGCTGGATAATAATTCCAATAGTAGTGAAAAATTTAATATTACCTGTGAGTGTAAATTTTGTTGCTGTGGTAACTTTCAAACACAAAGAATAGTATTTTTTTTTTAATGCTACACTATTATGGGGATTTTTTAAAAAAATTGTTTGGTGACAAAACAGGCCTAGATCCAGTTAGCAGTGTACTTATCATCTGGGAGGGGGGCAAATGTTGCGCCTTCTTCTCCAGATCCCCATCAGGTGCACAACAGCAGCCAGGACACTTATGGATGCAGCCCTTCAGCTTGGGGTTGACAGATCAAGACTATCCCAGGTCCTGAGATTTCAGTGCCTTAACCTAAGACCTGGAAATGGCCCCTTATGATTACACAAGAAACAGACTATGGTTATGCTACAAGGGTGATGTTACAAGGGGCAAACCCTGGTGATATCATTAAGCATGATAAATTAAGCATTAACCACAGTTGGACAAAGTACACAATTCTTGTTTTTTAAAATCTAAGTATTGAAGTAGTATTTACATACTGTGGCTTGAGATTTCAGACCTTGCATTTCAGACAGATTATCCAAGAACATGACATGACTGTATTAGGATCTGTTAAAGAACCTACCAATGAGTGTGTGGTGTAGTGGTTTGAATGTTGGACTACAATTCTGGAGACCAGGGTTTCATTCCTTGCTTGGCCGTGAAACCCACTGGGTGACCTGGGGCAAGTCACATGCTCTCAGCCTCAGGGGGAGGCAATGGAAAATTTTCTCTGACTAAATCTTGCCAAGAAAAAACCATGATAGGGTCACCTAGGGTCTCCATAAATTGGAAACAACTTGAAGGCACTCAACAACAAAAGATGCTACTTAACACAGTAATCTTCCCATGATGAGAACTTTGATCTTGGTAACCACAATGATGCTCATATATCTTGCTAGATTTGACAGCTCTTCTACCCTTGGTAATGTTTGCCTAGTATCTGAAAACCATGAGTGTTCATTACCTGTAGTTGACCAACAGTAATTTTAAACATTGTTGTCAGTTGTAAAACCAACCAGCCGTTTGAAGGAAGTGTTTGGCTCTAACTGGTCCATTGGCTATAGATCTCATTGGCTGATTGTTAACTGGGCAAAAGGCTTCCTTTTTAATGTGTGCTAAATTTACCCAGAGGGTGTGGGAGCCCATAATGATCGAAAGGGCCAATCCTGAAGGCTTCTCTGTTGGTCCTGCGTAGGAGGCTCCAGCTCCCATGTGCCTTGCCCAGACTCTTCTGTCATACTGAGCATATTCTGAAAAGAATGTAGGGATGGGTGCCAGATTGGCAATGTCTAATCGCAGATATTCTAATCTCAGACATTGTACTGTGGCCAGAAGGGCATTTCTAGTGTTCCTATCAATGTGGCATCTCTGCTTAAACAGAAAGAAATGCATTCCAAAGCACCAACAAGTACCACCTTCTGCACCCCATGCACAGTGGGGGCATTTGTTGGGAATTTGAGATATTTTATCTTGGAGAGAATTACTGGTAACATCTGCTACCTAGGAGACAAAAATTCAGAAGGCAGACAAAATGGCTTCCATTTGCCCCCATTCATGGTCATGAATGAAAGATTATAGAATAAATTCCATGAGAGCCAAGTGTGGGCAGGAACAGTCTTTTATTGTTTGATGTGTACACTTGCTTCCTTAATCTTTGCTTCGAACATATAGACAACATAACCTCAATGAAATGTAAACACCATATAGCCTAGACAATTGTTCAGGTGAAGGGAGAGGAAACAAAGCACAATCCATGTGCAAAATAGTTAAGTATTGGGACATTCTCAGGAAAGTCAAAGAGAAAGACATGGGCATGCTGGCATGATTCTTAGTTATGACAAGAATGAACTCTTATGTTCATATCTTATAGACATTTTTCTTTTTTGTAAGTGTTTCCAAATAAGGCTTTTATTGCATAACTGCTTTCCATCATTCATTGAATTTCACAGGGATCCCTTTGGAAACCTCCTCCATGTTTTACCACAATTTCTTTTTTTCTTAGCACAAAACATCCATTAAGGAAAAAATACTGAATAGCTGCACACGGCTTCTGTTTGGTAATTCTAGGTTGTCCATTTGGAGGCACCTTGGCTGAAAGGATTTCCAGGTTGATTGTAACTCAGTGGTAGAACATTTGATTTGTATACAGAGAAGCAACAATTCAGTTCCAGGTACCTCTTGTTTAGGTTGTAGGTTGTAGGTCTGGGGTGAGTGGGATATCTCTGCCTAAGACTGTACAAAGCCTCTTCTAGTAGGCTGTAACACTGCAGTGCAAGGAAGCTCCTTAACCCTTGTGCACCAGCATTAAAAAATAACAACAACCTCAAAAACAAAAAACAAAATTTGTATTTCAAGAATTGTTCGGAGATTACTGGATCCCAATAGGAATTCCAGTGTATTGAGGGTTAGGGTCCAAGTTTGAGTTTGGGTAGAATGTACATGCCATGTACATGTACATTACTATGCCTCTCTGCATGGGGCGAACCTACTGGCCACCACAGCTTATTTATACTTTATGGGAGACTGCACAGGGAGTTGGGTTTCCTGAAAAATTGCACATAATTCCCCCCCATAGGTTTCCATAAGTCATTCAAAGGGCAGGCAGTCTCCCTTACTCTTTAGGGGCTGCAGGAAGCTGGGGGTGGCCATTTAATGACTGAAGGAGTGTGTGAGGTGTCCAGATAGCATCCAGTGGTAGCTTGAAGGAAAGAGTGGACATCCTCTTCCCAGATCTCCAGATGGGAAACAAACACTGTTTCCTTTTGGCTGTATAAGTGAAGCTAAATACTTCATGGGTGCCCCATGGCCTCTCCTAGCCACTAACCTGTCTTGCACCTAAAGGCATCAGGTGCCAAGGGAAGCAGCTGTGGTGGGGAGTAGCAGTTCCAAGTGAGTCAAGGCACTTTGCAGACAGGTAATGAGAAGACCTTACTGTGGTTGAAGAGACAGTTAGCAGAAAAGCCTCAGTTGTTTCAAAATCTATCAGGAGTAGTAATAGTAATGGAAGACACAAGGGAAAAATAAAGAGATATAAAATTTAAGCCAGTCCACAGGACAAGAATCCAAATAAACCCACGAGCAGGAAGTACACAAAAACCAAAGCGAGTGAATAGTTGCAAACAACATAAGCTTCCAGCAGCTGCTATGGGATTTGTAGCCACCAACCTTGAGATACCGGCTACTTCACTGCTCAGTGTTTCTTATTTAAAAACCATTGGCTGCTGTTCCTTGTCACAAATGATGGGCTTTTCTCCTTGGTGTCCATCAATTCCAACTGAGATGAGGGGGTACCCTGCTGAAGTTCCCTATCAGATGCCTCTGCCACTACCTGCTTAGATTTGGATGGAGGAGCCCACATCTGGAGCCAGAGGTCCTTCCAGATCTGACTCTTCTATGTTGGATTCCTCAGACTCCACAGGATTCGTCATGACATGAATAGCCATGATCCACTGTTATGAAGCTGCTTTCAGCATGGCATGGAAGGGGCAGCCCAGTAGAAATGGGCAGGCAGTGTTACATTTCACCTTTGTGAATGTAGGATCTTGGCCACATCTATCTATCTGTCTGTCTGCCTGTCTCTCCATCCACACACACATGTACACATATGTTCTGACTGTTTTTTTGTTGGGGGGAAATTGGAGATATTATTTATATTCTAGCTGCTCAGGTGAAAAATGTTGCAGAATGTCCAAACTAGTTCTAGTTCTGTAAGAATTCTGGAATGAAACAGGAGCCTGGAGACATAAAATGTCCTGTCCTGATGCCTAAAGGCTAAATACAAGGTTTCAGGTATATTAGGTTCATCCCCATGATGTCTGCATTATTAAGATGTGAAGTTGTTGTTGGAAATAAAAAGAGGTAGCTTCCATAACTGCAAATGAACTTATTTGAACACTGCGGATCATGGAAGCTGCTGTAAATGACATGTGCATGCATGTTACGTTGGATGCATTGGTGCATTTCCCATCTATAAATACCTTCCCAAATGTAACCTCTTAGGTGGCTGTTAAGGAAGCCAAAGGATACCTTAAAAGTATGGTGAGTTCTTGGAACTTCAGCTCAGGTTCACAGGATAGCAGTTGAATTTTAGACTGTGTGCTATTCATTGCCAGCCTCCTCTATCTGTCAAACTGGGCAGGAATGGTGGTTCCTGTTAGTCCTCTCTTTGATCAGCTGGACTTTTCTTGTCTTAACCACCTGTAACAAATATGTTCAGAAGATGATTACTGCTTAATTGAGAAAAGAGTGGTCTCATCAGTCTTAAATATCTTAAATACCATCTTAAATATCTTTAATATCAACTTAAATATCTGAAGAAAGCTATCATAAGACTATTCCTGAAAAGGTGTTCCCTACATCCACACTGGCATAATGATTATTTGAGCATTGGACTACAAATCTGGAGATCAGAATTTGATTCCCCACTTAGCCATGGTAATCCATTGGGTGATCTTGGGCAAATCTCAGCTCCAGAAAACTATGTGATATGTTCACCTTGTGGTTACCATAAGTCCAAAATGACTTGAAGGCACACAACAACAAAGACCCATAATATTTATTTCAAATATAGGTCAGTTGCAAATATTCTCTTTGTGTGTGTGTGTGTAACTTCATATGATACTGATTGGTCTTGATCCATTTGGGTTTCATTTCAGATCTAGTATTGAAACTGCTTGGGTTGTCCTGCTGGATATTCTGGGTTTGGAGAAGGATGGTGTGTGTGAAAACCTATCAATTCCCTTCCTTTGAACATCATCTTCAGCAATATGCACAACAGCATCCTTTTGCATCAGTTGGCTAACATGAGAATCAGAGGCACTATGCATATGTGGTTCCATTCCTATCTAGATATCTGATTTCAGAAGGTGGTGCTGGGAGACTGTTGGTTTGTCCTACAATACCTGAAGTATTCTCCAGGGCTTTTGTTTTATTCTCTTCTGTAGTTTAATATCCACATGAAACTGCTGAAAGAGAATATATGAAGATCTGGTATGATGTGCCATTAGCCCTCTAATTATAATAATGATAATGATATATTACTTCTCTTTTTCATCAGATGCTAGTGAAGCAGAGACAGCACTAAATCAATACTTGTACTAATTAATGGACTTGATAAAGCTGACAATTGACAGTTCAGTGATGATAAGATGGAGGTACTGTTGGGAGGCTGTTCATCTGGCCAAGGACAGTGGTGTACAAATTATTGTGGAGCAGACTGGCTCTCTATAAAGGATCAGGGTTGAAATTTAATGATTATTCACAATTAAAGTAGATCTATTGAATCGATGAATCCTACATAGATGTTGACTTACCAAATTAACGTGATTTAGTGGATGTAGTTTAGGTGAGCCCAACAATTGGACCAAAGCCCACGTTCACATTGTTCATTTTATCTGCCACACTGTTTTCATTGGTTTGTAGGCTGCATTAAAACTGCTGTTATGTTTTTTGTTGATGTTGTATCCATTCATAAGCTGGGTATATTGAGCTTAGAGAAGAAAAAACTGAGATATGACATGATAGCCATCTTTAAATATTGGAAGTGATGTTTAAGAAGATGCAGGAAGCTTGTTTTCTGCTGCTCCAGAAACTCTCTCTCTCTGGCTTTTCTTCGCAAACAAAGATTCAGGAAGGACTCATCCCACGCTTTTTGCAAACA